AAAAAAAAAAAAGAAATAATAATAAAGAAAATAAAAGAAAATTGGAAGAACTAATAATGAGACAAATTGGGACTCGGGGTGGAAAAGTAAAAAAAAAAAAAAAAACTCCAAAACGACGGTGACGCCGAGAGACCACAGTAGAGTAAAGAGTCATAATTGAATAAGGTCTACGGAAGGAAGTATGTCGTCATTAAAAAAATTCCTCTTTATTTATATATGAGAATGTTTTTTTTTTTTTAGCTAAAATGAGGACATATCCAATGCAGGTATAGAAAGCATCTCACCAGAAGCAATATCACGTGAAGCAACGAGTTTGATGTGTGGTGCTTCCCCTCCATCCTCACATAGTACAACTGTGCAGTTCGCCTGGTTGGGAGCTACACGGCGTACTGCTCCTACGAGTTTCGGTAAAAAGTACATCTTGTTGTCCTTTTTACGCCCACTCAAGCAAATAGCAAATGTTCGCACGTACTCATAAAGAGCATAGAAGAGGGTTAATGAGTACATTTGTTTTTCCTCTTCTGTGAAAAACGCAGTAAAAGTGTCATACACTACACGCATTTCCTCTCGTCCACGTCCACTCAGACGATCTGTGACGAGTGGATAAACACCAAGATGTTTAAGTGCTGTCTGTAGCGGAACCACACTATCTCGTTCGGAGTTAAAACTTTGACTTCCTTCTTCAAAAGAAATTTTGGAATTGCCGCTTTCATTCGCCCTCCGATGACAGCGACGTTGAACAGAAAGTCGATCATGTGTGACACAAATCATAGCAAATAAACGTGTAGTCATATAAGCTAAATCAAGTGGTGTTTGACATACACGTAATGTAAATGTAGAAGAGATAAGGTCTCGTGCACGTTCTACGGCAAGACGATGACGTCCAAGTTCCATAGCAAAAAAGAGAGAAGATCGTTGCTGACATTCCACACTACAGTAACACGCTAATTTTACGCTTGCATTACCAATTAAATCTATAGGAACACGCATCATTTCTTTAGAAGGTTTTAGACATACACAACAACGTTCTGAAGGTTCTGAAACGATGGATTCCATCGCAAGAAGAATCCAATTCTCGTCATATATAGTATCAAATTTTTTATATTGACGACATGTTAAAAGTTGTTTTGCATAATAAGCATCTAGAGAAAGTTTCAACTCATTTTTAGGTAAACTCATTTCAAGATTACATAAAAAAATGTCGAGTTCCCCTATTCTTCGCAATTCTCGACTATGAGGAAGTAATAACATGGCTTGATTTATCTGCGTACCAGCTTCTTCAAAATTACCCAAACCACTTAATGCACGTGCGGCAGCAACATAACCTTTTACCCAACTAGGATCCAATTCAATTATTTTCAACGCATCTTTAAGAGCTTCTTCATAGCGTCCCAAAAATATATTTGTACGAGAACGCAATACCAAAACATCTACCATTTTATGTTGCGTTTCATCATCAAGTTTATCAAGTAATGAGATTGCGTCTTCATACGCTCCTGCGATAAAACGTTCGTTTGCTACACCCAATTGTGGTAGATTAGGAGATATATGAACTTCCATAAATGATAGAGATTCATAGTATTGTTTATCCAGTGTACATGTAGTAGTGTTATCATGGCTACGTCCAGCTCGAGGACCAAGATTACCAAGACCGAAAAAAGAAGTAACCATATAGCTACTACCATGTGGTGAAGAAGAATAGGCATCAATAGGTACATCTGATAAACAAGCACGTGGTAGACTTAAACTGTAATCCATATCGAGTTGCTCATTATAAAAGCGTACAAGCGTCACATTATTTGAATGTCGCACAACGGTACCAGATATTCGACCATTACATACAGCACGATAAGACTCATCCCAATGTTCTCGTAAAAGCAACTGAACATCTTCTTCATCCACTACCCACACATTAGTTCCAACAGGAAGGTCTTCAATAGGCAAACGTGGTACAAGTGGTTTTCGCACACAACTTAAGGATATAACTGGTTCTGGGACATATAACAGTTTTTCTTCTGTTTTGTCTTCTTCAGCCGTCATGTCAACATCAGATTCACCTTTCATGACATCTTCAATTCGGAAATTTCCTCCGACAGTACCCCACTCAGATTCATCAGAACTGCTCTCATGATCACCATCTACTGCTGAACTATCACTACCACTACCACCAGCAACACGAGAGCCTACAGGTGACACTAACTGCAAATCTGCATCAAGCAACTCGTTCATGTCCGGTCTACCAATACGAGACTTCATGACCTTATATATATATATATATATTCAAAGACGATTTTATTTTTGTTAATTTTTTTTTTCCTCACAAAGAAAGAAAACTATTCTCTACAAAGAATTATGCAATTCAGCCCTTTCGGTTTGTTTTGCACCAAATACTATAGTTTGAATATTAAGTAAAAGAAGAAAAAAAAAAAAAAAAAAGAAAAGAAAGGGAAAAGATAAAGTGTGAGAGAAAATAAAAAAAATAATAAACCAAAAAAAGATTATATGGTTACAAAAAGGAGAACAAACGAAGAAAACCCCCCAAAAAAATAATAATAATAAGGCAAACGAGTATAAACTTGTTCATGTATGTGTGTGATATACAGAAAATAACAAAACGACAGAAAAAACTAGCCACCAGAGACTACATGAAAGTGTTCAAGAGGTGGACGTACCTTCTTGAAGTACGTCTCCGGTAAGGGTGGAACTACCGGATCTAACTCCTGTTTGTGTTCAGATGCAGTAAGAAATAAAAGAGCTGCTGCAGCAACAGATGTTTGCAAAACATCATGATGATCATCATAGATCTTCATTAATTCTTCTCTATTTTCCTCAAGTGAACTGTAAAAAACGGTCCTATTGCGGTGATGTTTACGCCATGCAAAAGAACGTTGAAAGACAAAATAAAACGCCATTATAGCTAATATACAACACATATACAACATTGTTCGATTATGCATAGGTAGATCACCACTGTCACTCATCCTATCAACAGTTCGTTGGAACATCGTCTTTGCATTTTCTTCCTTTTCTTTTTCAAGTGAACGGCGGCGTAACTCTGCAGACATATCTGCTTGAGCTGCGAAGGAAGCGTAGCGTGGTTGATGTACACGCACTAAAGGACGATCTAGTACCATCCAGCTACCGTCATCACGGTTCTGGTACATATACTTCCCTTCTGGCGTTACACGCTCAGTGGAAGGATCTAAAGCAGTAACTTTTGCAGCCTCAAAATCTGAAAGTACATCATCATTGTTACCTTCTTCATCCTGATATTGATGATGTTGCTGCTGTTGTTGACCATGTTGTTCCTGTGAAAATGGATTTGGTCGACGAGCATCATCACGCCTTTTTGTACCAGCAGGCTTTAACCTAAGACGCTCATATGCACCCTCTTTCAAAAGCAAATTATAAGCCTTATTGATCTCCTCCATCTTCTTACTATCACCAGTCTTCGAATCTGGGTGGTGAAGTCGTGCTAGTTCCCGGTAGCGTGTTTTTATCTCAGCCTTCGTGCAACTACGACTAAGACCCAATACCGCAAACGGTTCATTTGACAAAAGCAACAACGAACGACGCATATACACGTTAGGCGTTAAAAGTCTGCGAGCGACAAAACAACAGAAAACACACAAAAAGAACCACGGTATTAACGATAAAAACTCGAAAAGAGGTAGTTCCCAACACCACCCAAACAACTCCGCTAAATATATTCCATAAGGAAAAAATATTAATTTCAATGAAAAAAAAGAGAAGAAAAAAGAAAAACTCAAGTTTCACATTGCAAAGTACTAGAATTAGCATTTTATTAAAAAAAAAAATACCTAAAACAAATATGAGTACCTGATACTTCATCAGAACATCATCAAATAATTCTATATTTCATTTTTCTTTAATAATAATAATAATAATAATAATAATAATAATAATAATAATAATAATAATAATAAAAGACTTAAACAGGTTTTCAAAATTCTTTAAATTGAATATTCAGAAAAGCATCTAACAAACTAGCAGCATTTAAAAAAAATGAGTTCTTCCACTACATACAACACCGATATCCAACAAAAACAAATCAAAAAAAAGGTACTTCTATTACTGCTTCTTATCAGAGTCCTGTTGTTGTTGTTGTTGTTGTTGTTGCTGCTGATCCTGTTGCTGCTGCTGTTCACCCTGATTGCTGCTGTTGTTGTTGCTGTTTGCTGCCGCCGCCTGCTGGTACTCGGTACGGCCGCATTCCATGACTGCCTTCTGAAGCTTATCTGTTGCCGCAGAGAGCTCGTCCTTTGCCACGTTAGGGTTCTCCATCGCCTTGCGGAGCTCTGCGAGAAGCGTGCGCACATTCTCCTTCTCGGCGTCGCTCACATACTTCCACTCTGTCAGCTGGCGCTCAGCTGTGGTCACCTGGGTCTCGGCGTTGTTGCGCACCTCCACCAGCTCGCGCTTGAGACGGTCTGCCTCTGCGTGTGTCTCCGAATCGCGGATCATACGCTCAATGTCCTCCTTGCTCAGACCACCGTTTGCTGTGATTGTGATGTTCTGTGTTTTGCCAGTTGCCTTGTCCTTCGCCGTGACGTGGCAAATACCGTTGGCATCGATGTCGAAGGTCACCTCGATCTGTGGCACACCACGTGGAGCTGGTGGGATGCCAACTAGGTCGAACTGGCCCATCATCTGGTTGTCTGCCGCCATCTCGCGCTCGCCCTGGAACACCTTGATGCCCACCTGTGTCTGGTTGTCTGCGGCTGTGGAGAAGGTCTGGCTCTTCTTGGTTGGGATCGTCGTGTTCTTCGGGATCATGCGTGTGAAGACGCCACCAAGCGTCTCAATACCGAGTGACAGTGGCGTCACATCGAGCAGCACGAGGCCCTTCACGTCACCGCGCAGCACACCGCCTAGTGTCGCCGCACCGAGTGCCACCGCCTCATCAGGGTTCACACCACGGAATGGTTCACGACCAAAGAACTGCTTGACGGCCTCAATCACCTTCGGCATACGTGTCATACCACCGACAAGCACCACCTCGGAGATCTCCTTCAGGTCCACACCAGCATCCTTGATGCACTGCTTGCACGGAGCCAACGACCGCTGCACAAGCTTGTCAGCCAGTGCCTCAAACTTGCTGCGGCTCACCGTCATCTGCACGTGCTGAGCACCGTCCTGGTTCGCTGTGATGAAAGGCAGGTTAACCTCTGTCTCCATTGTCGTCGACAACTCGCACTTCGCCTTCTCGGCAGCCTCGCGGATACGCTGCAGGGCCATGCGCTCGTTGCTCAGATCGATACCCGTTGACTTCTTGAACTCCGTCAGGATGTAGTCAGAGAGGCACAGGTCAAAGTCCTCACCACCAAGGTGTGTGTCACCGTTTGTGGCCTTCACCTCGAACACACCACCGGCAATCTCAAGCACGGAGATATCGAACGTACCACCACCAAGGTCGTACACCGCAATCATGCTGTCCTTGGTCTTGTCCAGACCGTAGGCCAGTGCAGCGGCTGTTGGCTCGTTCACGACGCGGATCACGTTAAGACCGGCGATTGTACCGGCATCTTTTGTTGCTTGCCTCTGCGCGTCATTGAAGTATGCAGGGCACGTCACCACAGCATTGGAGACCTTGCGGCCAAGGAAGTTCTCTGATGTCTCCTTCATCTTCTCCAGCACAAACGCACCCACCTGAGAAGGTGAGTACTGCTTGCCGTTGGCATCCTGCACCCACGCGTCACCGTTGGAGCTGCGCACAATCTTGTAGGGCACGTTCTTGATGTCATGCTGGATATGGGGGTCGTCGAAGCGTCGGCCAATCAGTCGCTTCACTGCAAAGAAGGTTGACTGAGGGTTTGTGATGGCCTGGCGCTTTGCAGCAAGACCGACCAGTTTCTCCTGGCCCTTGAACGCCACCACAGACGGTGTTGTACGGAAACCCTCGGCGTTCTCCAGCACACGCGGTCTGTCACCCTCCATGACGGCGACGCAGCTGTACGTGGTGCCAAGGTCAATGCCGATCACATCACCTGTCACCTTAGTTGACTGCCAGCGTGCCAGTGACGCGGCAGCCAGACTTCCGGAGGTACGCAGACGACGAGCGAACATATCCAAAGGCACTTATTTACTCTTAGTTTTAATGTTTGGTGAGAGCTTATTTCTTCTAAGAATTATACAAGACGTGGAGTAAAAAGAAAATATAGAACAAAAAATAGTTTTATTTTTTAAAAAAGAATAAATTAAAATGTTTTTTTTTTATTATTATTATTCATCTATTTCGTTTGGTACGTGTTATATAAATAACAAAAAATAGTATACCATATTTTGGAGTGAAAAATGGATGGTGATATGCGTCATTGAAGAGAATATATGTTTAGTCTGTTTGTATTATGTAGATGGTGGAATGTCTGCAGCACCAGCTGTTGCTGTGATACCAGTTATTTTTTTTGTGTTAGTACATGTATGTATCTTTAGAGAAACTCTTTGCCGCTTTTTTTATTTTTTGTTCTACTTAGCCATTATTTAAACTAATTGATATTCCTTTTTGTACTGAAAGAGAGAGAGAAGAAAAAGCGGTTATGGTGAAAATAAGTGGATCATTTTAACGTTGAACTGTACTAATATAATAATCTAAAAACACTGTTTAAATGACTTCTTGAATAATAACACTGAGAGAAAAATAAACGAATGAATCTTCTGTCTCGAAATTCTATAAATCCACAGGTTACATAAATGAACGCATAGTGGTATTTGTGGCTCTAATTATTAAAATACAAATAAAAAAAGAAATTAGCATGAGTCAAAATAAAAATAAAATGAACAGTGTGCTCTATACTGTTAAAAAATTATAAGAAAAAACATCAACAACAGTAATCTTTGAAGTTCCCTCGTTTTTCCGTTTGCACTTGAGAGTCATGTAAAGCCCAGTCAAGCTGAGAGAACCACTACATGAGATAAGGCACCTTCTGAAGGTGTTACTGCAGTCCAAACTTCTTTCTTACACTGGACAAGAGAGGCGACTGTATATGATATTGTGCTGTTGGTTGTTGCATGTTGAGGTAAAAGGGACTGCGCCGTCCAATACTTTGTCGGTTGTGGATGTTCACCGGTATCAATGATTGTGAGTTTACCAGAGACATCACCAGCTGCTATTCGTCCATGGTACATGGAAACAGAACGAATAGGTACACGAACCTTTCCTGTTCCAAATGCCTCTTCTCGAACATTACTTGTTGAACAACGCATAACAAAGACACGACCTCCAACTGTACCTGCAGCTACGGCAGCAGAATCTAATGATGCTGAAATACTGGTAATTTGATCTGGGACAGCAAGTATAGTTACCGGTTCACGTCCTCTTCGTGCATCGTATAGCATTACTTTACCATCATAATTAGCCACAGCAAATGTGTTATTGTTAACTGCCACTGCCCCAATAACTCGAGGTTTGGGGGTTAAGAAGCTTAATCGCACTGCAGCGCGCTCAATATCTATTACCTCTGCACTACTTGGAGAACTACTTAAAAGCAGTGAAGGTTCCTGTGGCACTTCTTTCAGTGACAGTACTGGTGTCTCTTCCTGGAAGGTGTAGCACCGCACTACTGTGCGTGAATGACGTGAAATAACGGCGATGCTTCCCATTCCAGTACCAATAGCTATACAAGAATCGGCAGACAAGAAACAAGAGGATATAACGGGATCGCCACCAATGATATGATGCGGAAAACTCTCCAGATGTATAGAGCTGCGTGTAGAAGGTTCGTAATTAGAATCATCCTTTTTGAAAATGTGAGTTCCGTTCATCATAGTACTCACAAGACAGTCGTTGGTGATATCACTATGCGCCATGTTTGAGATGCGGCCTTGCACCTCAAAACGGCATGTAATTCTGTCCATACGTGATATTTATACTATTTTTTCTTCCCTTATATATATGCACACTAAAGGACCACCACTACCTTTCTACTTTAAATAGATCCAAGGAAAAAGAAAAAGACAAAAAGAAAAAAAGAAAAAAAAAAAAAAAAACACCACATATTTTGAACATTTTAGGATAAAACATTCATTCGTCAAAGAGATACACAGAAGAACAAGAAAAAAAAAAAAAGAAAAAGAAAGGAAAATAAGATGGCACCTAAATTCCTCCATCCTCATGTTTACATAAATAGAAGAAAAAAAAAAAAATGTATGGATTAGATAAAACAAAAACAATAATAGCAAAAAAAAAAAAATAAATATCACGGTACTCACTTTATCCCAAGCAAACCCAACATCATTCTTATTTTTTTTTTTCTTTTCATATTCATCTCCATTTTTCTTTGCTGTAGGAGAACGCCAATCCAACATGAAAAAAAATAAAAATAAGAATCGTTACTATTTTTTTTTTTTTTTACCTTACTTCCTCTTAAAGAACTCGAATGGATACAAAATAGTACCCACACCCACACCAATAGCAATGGCAGCAGGTATATGAATAGGTGCATAAGCAAGGAAACATTTAGTTGTAAGTCTAAAAAACTCTTTCCGACGTTCTTTCCATGTTCTCTCATTGAATATTGCCCACATTCCAGGATAGAAAAGATGTGAAGCTACAAGACAAGAGAGTCCCGGCACCTGTGCTGTAATAGGACCAAGATAAGGCATAAAACCTTTTTTTGCCTTTTCATTTTTTATTTTAGGTTCAAGAATAAAAAAATAGGCACACCAACTGGCGATAAAATTTACGTAAAAGAAATCACTCATCATGCGAGGTATAAGTGTTTTCTTTGAATCCTGTGTTTGTGACAACTTCAATAGTGGAGAAGATGGAATAGAAACACAAAAGGGTACCGCAAATAGAGTTGCACATATTGTGGCTCGGATAATAAGTTTAAAGGTCGAATGAGTCACCAATACTTCTCCTTTCTGCTGCTGCTGCTGCTGTTCTCCTGATGAAATTCTTTTCTTTGGCAACTCAATATAAGACATTCTCTTCTCTACCCAATGTATACACCTCTACCACTAACACCCTCCACCTCCTCCCTCCCTCACTCTTTTCTTATCTACGCTTTTGTTGTAGAAAAAAGAAAAACATGATATTACAAAAACCAGATTAAATAAGAAGAAAGAAAAAAAAAGAAAAGAAAAATGGAACGAAATAAAAACAATAACAAAAATAAAAAAAAAATAAAGAGCAATCCTTTGGTTATCATTCAAGTTCATCTAACTCTTAGAAAAGAGAACCATGAAGAAATTGAGAGGAAATCCTCCCTTCTCTCTACTCTAAGAGTCACAGTCACAGTGATGGAAACATAGACACATAGTGAATCAAAAAAAAAAAAAAAAAAAAAAAAAAAAAAAAAAAAGAAAAAAAAAAAGAAAATATTATCAAGACGAATAAAAGGACAAAAACAAAAAAGCAAATAATAATAATAAAAAAAAAGATATGGCATCAGTCAATACCTTCTTTCCGCAATACATTACACCAGTGGGCTGCTTGTGCAAGACGAGATTTAATTTCATCCACTTTATCTTGATTGGGTAAAAGGTGAATAAGTGCACTAGTCTCTTCAGTACGAAGTTCAAGTTGTTGTAAGCGGTAGTGAAAAGATGTGTTGGAAAGACCACCAAAGTAAAGTGCAATATATCCATTCATTAATGTCAATCGACATTCATGTAATACACGTTGTGTCTCGAGAATAATATTTAATGCATTCGCATGCATTTGTGTATCCTTATGATGTTGCGTTTCACTTCGTATTTTCTGTAATAACTTTTCTAGTGTTTCTTTTTCAAGGAAAATACTTTCCTTATGATTTTCCCATCGTGTAAAACAATTTAGAAAAAACACTTGATCACTATTTTTATTATTATCAGGATCACGTTTATCACAATTATAGTAACTACGATTATGTTCTGACCATGGTCCAAGACACACCCAACAATACTCATGATGACAACAACTACATGTCATATGATTACAACCTTGATTTTTCTCTGTACGTACTGCACATTTTGGACAACCTTTTGTTTTTTCTTGAATAAGTGCCAGTGTTGGTTCATTCTTTTGAAGGACTTCCTCCCAACGTCTCATCATTTGACAAGTTGCGGGAGCATGAGGGGGTTGAAGGCAATTAAAACAAAATTCAAATCCACATATAGAACAACATACATCTGGTCCAGAATCTCGTAGAGTCATCACATGTAATACACCTTCACAAGATGCTTTATTAGGGCAACAACGCATATGCAAATTGTTTCTAAGATAATCCCTAATCATACGTTGTTGTACATGTCCATACTCCTTTGGGGGTAAAAGTTCCTTAAATACACCAATACCTACTATACTACAACACTTCTTCTTAGGGCACCGTTTGTTAAATAAGTCAAGATCATGCTTTAATGCAAAAATTAGGTTCGCTGCAAAACAATCCGTACAGAAAAAATGTTGACATCTGGGGATAGCCACTGCTTTCCCTACAGCCACTACATCTCCACATATAGGACACTCCAGAGGTGTATCATTTCTCACTAATAAAGTATCTTCTTCTTCATTATCAGAGGAATTCTTAACAGTACAGATATCTGTAATGTTAAGTTCCTTATTAATTTTTTCCATATCACCCAGGTATCTTTCTAATACAGCATCATTCATTACCCAACCGAGACGTCGAAGAACAAGAAGTGCGGCTTCAGGTGTTAATCCAAGAATTTCATTTGCTTTTTCAATATCCCCACGCATATTTTCTAGTACCTGACTCGCTGACAGCGTTGTAAAGGACTCCGTTCCCAAAGAAGCAACACCTGGCATATGTTTCTCTTCCATCTTTTCTGCAGTTAACGACCAAGGACCTTCGTCATATACAGAATCATAATCCTCTTCAATATAGTACTCCTCCTCAGCGAAGGACATTGGTACAAATAAAGATATACCACTAATAACTTATATTGTATAAATATATACACAGAGACAGAGACACAGAGAATCTTATTTTATTTTTCTTCTCCCCAATCTCTCTCTCTCTCTTTTTCTTTTCTTTTTACGTTTCTCAGCGTCTTGTTGTATTAGCTGAGAGAAGAAGAGTAAAAAGAAAAAAAAATTAAAAAACAGCAACTAACAGAAACAAAATAAAAAAAAAGAGAAGAAAAAAAAAGATGAGGGGATGTGAAAAGCAGTGTCATACTTCCAAACAGAGATAAAGGGCATAGATATCACTAGAGAGGTTTTGATAATAGCAAAACTTTTTTTTTTCTCTTATGTTTGTTTTTTTCTTCTTCAATCTTAAAAGGGGGAAGAAGAGCACAGAAGGTTCACCTACTTTACTTCTCACTTTCTGTTCCTCTCATTTTTTTTTTTTTTCTCCCCCACTCATTACTCGTTTTTTTTTTTTTTTCTTCCTCTGGAAAGGGGGTGCTGTTTACCGCATTGTAAAATTTAACGCCTGAATGCCTTATCCACCACCCATCGCCCAGCGCTTATACCATTCAACATCACGTTGACTGATTCGCGGTTTAACTTTCTGCAGTGCGGCATCAATATCACTGTGCGTGATGTACGCTGCCTTTGCATCTTCCGTCACCCGCAGAAAAGCCGCCTCCTTCACCACCGCCACCACCTCCGCCCCGCTGTAACCCTCCGTCCTACTCGCCACGTACTCCGCGTTGAGATCGGGAGCGACGGGAATACGGGCAAAGTGAATCTCTACAATGGCCTTACGCTCTGAGAGATCTGGAAGGCCAACGTAGACTTTGCGATCAATACGTCCGGGTCGAAGGACGGCAGTGTCAATGTTATCTGGACGATTGGTTGCCGCTACAAACACCAACGCCTCAGAAGATTCATCCAATGCAGCAGGGAGACCATCTAATTCGGTAAGAAATTGAGAGATAACACGATCGGATACACCACCTTGTCCACGATGTGAACACATACCATCCAGTTCATCAATAAATACCACACATGGGGCTACAGCACGGGCTCGTGTAAAAATATCTCGTACTGCCTTTTCACTATCTCCTACCCACTTTGAAAACACTTCAGGTCCTTTAACTGAAATGAAATTCATTTTAGATTCATTAGCAAGCGCTTTTGCTAACATCGTCTTACTACAACCTGGAGGTCCATAGAGTAGAACTCCCTTAGGTGGTGAAAGCTTGAATTTGCGGAATACCCAACTCTGTTTACCGAGACACCAGGCTACACAATCCTGTAGTGTCTTCTTTGCAGATTCACTTCCACCAATATCACCCCAAGTAACTTGTGGTACTGACACTTCAAACTGTTTTAGTGAAGAGGGTCGTACTATTGTTAATGCCTTTTGCAACGAACTATCAGAGAGTCCTATACTTCCTGTTGATGTAAAATTCTCTACTATTCCAACTTCTATAAGATGAGCCAAATCACGCTGGGTAAAACCATGAGCTTGTTCTGCTACAGACTTAAGAGTTTCCTCTGAAATATGAGTAGAAGACAACGTTTTTTGTTTATCCATGATAGTCTTTAAACATTTTAACCGTTCTTCTGCTGAACCTGGTGTAAGAAGTACAACACGATTACTAAAACGTTCCCTTGTTAAAAGAGAACGAGATACTGCTTCAGCAGATGGTGCAGAAGCAATAACACGAACATCAAGTTGCTGACGTTTAATGTTATCAAGTTCTTCACATAATACAGCTGCTACAAGATTCATAGCCCATAATGAACCAGCCATAGAACTAGGATTAGTTCCACAAATAAGATGAAGATCATCAATTAATACCGTTGATGGTGCAGCAATTTTTGCACGCGTAAATGCTTCACGAAGTACTGTTGAACTAGTCACATCACTTGCATCACCTTGTGGAAGTTCTTCAACAGAAATAATTTCAACATGACGTCGATGCAAAGTAGTGGCATCTTGTCCTTCATTTTGAAGGTATTGAGTCTTACCAGTTCCAGCTTCTCCAATAACCAAAACGTGTTCCAAAAGAGTTGAATTCTCCTTAATATGAAGATTTTCTTCAGGTGTTTTATCTTCATAATTCACATCATGAGCACCATCTCGTATTACTGTGTTATCCATAAGCATACCTAGTGTAACTTTATTCTCCTTTTCCAAACTTTTTTCATTCTTTACACAAGGTATACATCTTACTACTTCAACATAAAATGGATGCGTTGCTATGCGTATCATAGCACGCATTCCATTATATACTAAACGATGTTGATATTGACGTCGAAAAGCGGCACGAACTTGCAAAAATGGAATTTCAGGTGGAGTTGAATCATTACCCACATCACGTGTAATTTCCACATCTACCTGAGAAATTGGTTCCATAACAGAAGGATTTTTTACTACAGATACAATAACCTGTTTATCTCTAAGTGCTGCCGACATTTCATCAGCAAGCAAAATAGTTTGTGAATGACATGATGATGAAAGAAAAGCTTCACAGTACGCCTCACGTACACTGGACTTTATATGTAAAATAGCACCACTTAAAATTCCCAAATTCTTAAAAGAAGAAGGAGATAGTCGTGCCTCATTAGATGGCAAAGAACTATCAGAACGAGGTTGTAATAAGAACTCTATACTTGTTCCTTTACGCTCCTCTGAGGTTTTTGTTGTTGTTTTTGAAGGGGCAGGAGGAACTTGTGCAGGCAACGAACCCTCTGTGCCTGGAAATCCCTCACGCCCCCGTCTTTGCGGCACTGACTCCTCCACAACAGTTGTTTCTGCTTTCGATCCGGCCGAGGTTCGCACAAATCCTGTTCCATCAGCATTTGGACGAATGGGCGGCTTGAACCGCGCCTTTTTGGGGGCCATCCTATTCGTTATACCAATAGAGGAAAATAATCCATTACAAAAACAATACACCCCCACCCCCCACGCCCAACCACAGAATACAGATACAAAGAAAGAAAAAGAAAAAAAAAAAGAAATAAAAACACAAACAGACAAAAAAACAGCACCAAAATAAAAACATAACAATACCATTAGTTTGGCATATTGCCCGAAACAAAATAATGAAATAAACACTTATTTATTAATATAATTCTTTACTCAGTTTAAAATTCGAGCACCTCTCCAAGAATAAGGAACTAACTTCATTGCTGTATATATATATTTTAAAAAAGAAAGTAAATCACAATGGCAGCTTTATTGTGTCCAAGAACCCTCACAATACCACACGTCAAACCCCTTTTTTTTTTCTTAAAAAAAAAAAAAAAAAGAACCGATGGGTCATAAGAGAATTAGAGACAAAAAAAACCACCATTTTTATCTGAATATTAAATTAACATTACACTTATTCGCACAAGTAATATAAGACACAACAAAAAACAACAACAGTAGGAAAATATTTTAAAATTAGCCTGTACAAAGTGACTGTAATAATAATAACTTCAGATAACACCGAATACTCCACTGGTTCAACAACAACAGTCAAACTTTAGTTCCAACAAGAGACAAAACAATAATCAGTATTACCACTTCTACTGCTTCTTATCAGAGTCCTGTTGTTGTTGTTGCTGTTGCTGCTGATCCTGTTGCTGCTGCTGTTCACCCTGATTGCTGCTGTTGTTGTTGCTGTTTGCTGCCGCCGCCTGCTGGTACTCGGTACGGCCGCATTCCATGACTGCCTTCTGAAGCTTATCTGTTGCCGCAGAGAGCTCGTCCTTTGCCACGTTAGGGTTCTCCATCGCCTTGCGGAGCTCTGCGAGAAGCGTGCGCACATTCTCCTTCTCGGCGTCGCTCACATACTTCCACTCTGTCAGCTGGCGCTCAGCTGTGGTCACCTGGGTCTCGGCGTTGTTGCGCACCTCCACCAGCTCGCGCTTGAGACGGTCTGCCTCTGCGTGTGTCTCCGAATCGCGGATCATACGCTCAATGTCCTCCTTGCTCAGACCACCGTTTGCTGTGATTGTGATGTTCTGTGTTTTGCCAGTTGCCTTGTCCTTCGCCGCGACGTGGCAAATACCGTTGGCATCGATGTCGAAGGTCACCTCGA